ACAGAAACTTGTACCAAAGTATGAGACACAATAAAATTCTGGGAAAGAATGTTTCGTCTGGCAACCAGAGTTCTGGCTTTCATTCTGTCACTAGCTTCTATTTTGGGGGTCTTTGCACATTAATATCCTCATGTATGAAATGAACACCCACAGAAAACCATGGGGAAATAGGAGAAGTTAACACGATCTTTAATTCACATAGAAGAGTTTTGTTAAAGTGTTAACACAACTAAATTATGTCGCTGTCAGAATTTGCTTCACAATGCTCCATCTTCCCCTTTGCAGCCAGATCCTATTTCTATCCCACCAGAGTAGGTGGAGAAGCAAACCTTATAAAAGAAAAATTAAGTTGTCACAGAAGCAGACAGGTGTGTATACCGGCCAAGTTATGGGTCTTCCTTCAGTCCCTTCACTGCGTGGTATGGTCCCCCGTGGCCCTTCCCGTTCATTCCCACCTCCTCGCCAACCACACAGTACATTCCAGCCCCAAGCCCTTCAGAAGGCTCACATCCCCATTTGTGTCCTAATATCTTCCCCTTACCAGTTGGTTTACAATGATTTGGGACTGTCTTTCTCTTTTGTTAGTATACTGTCCATGCCAAAGTGTCAGTCCAGCCCTTACTAACGTCTACCACATTCTGAGCCATCACCCCATCACTGTGTTGCGTAGTTTGCCTCCATCCTCCTTCCCCCACTGGTGCCCCCACTTCCCTGACTTTGTGCTAGGCTGGTCTGGGCTTGCAGCAGCTCTGCTGTCTTCTCAATCTATTTCAATCTATTTCACATTATTTACTCTTTTCATTTTCTATTAAGTTACTGGAATAAAGAAAACACACACACACAAAAGGATCACAAAACTGTCATTGGACAAGAGATAGACCAAGAAAATTTTCTCTTAACTCCCATATATTCCTATTATATCAAGAAGGATTCATGGAGTAGAATAATTTTAAGAACTGTTTGCATGAAAGAAGGAAGGGAGGGAGGGAAGTTTCTAGATCTGAGGTCTGGCAGTGGTCTTATAAAAAATAAGATTTTTGATATAAAGCAAATATTCCTAGGTGATTTGTGCTAGGTGAACAGGGAGGAGCACTTTGGTTCCCTCAAGAAGCTAAAAGCACAGGGAAGGGTGTGACTTGGGTAGAATACTTGGCTAGCCCTCATTGGAGTCTGCCTATTTCCAGCCCATGGACAAACCTTTTTAAGCCCCAGGAAGGCCTCAAATGCATGTAGTCTCTTCAATGCTAACTTTCCTACTACAACAAGAGAGTTCAAAGCTGACATGTCTTGGGGCTCCTACCCAGGTCTGAAGTCAAGAGTCCAGAGGAGAGGAGGCTGAGTGGGGCGGGGCCAGCAACAATAACCAGAGCATTTCTGTTAAACACTGGCTGCCCTCAGATCTCGATTCGCTAGGAACGGTTCTGGTTTATGTACACTGCCCTGATATAGTTACTAACTGCCACTTTTCACTCTTAAAAATGTCCCAATTAAAAAAAAAGTCCCAATTTGGTCAATAAATTAGATAGTTACCCTGGTTACACAGCAGGGTCTCATGTGATCACCAGAGCGAGGATTTGAGTCTGCGCTTGACTATGCGTGTCCCTTCCACTGCTCTCAGCTGTTCTTTTCCATTCCCCACGTTGTTCCGGGTGAGGTAGAGAGCCCCACATACTTGCTGCAGGATTTCTGACCTACACAGGAGACACAGAGCCTGGAAATTTAGTCTCTAGAACTGACTTGCTTCAATATTGAAGAGAAAAAAAAAAACAACACACAACTTACCAGCCACCTCTAGGAACATGGAAAAGATGATGGTTTTCATGGTGTTTCTCCAGATGCACTTGTGATGGGAAGAATGAGGGGATCATCCTGTCTACACCCCCCTAACCAACCAATCTTATTTCTAGTCCAAGGTCTCTGGGCAATGGGTGGAGTGTGATAGGAGACACCCAGATACTCATCTGGAAGGGCCTCCATTTTTCAAGCATAGTAAATACTGTTCCTGAGTACAAAAAGGAGTATGGAATTTCCAGAAGTAGATTCCATATGGCTAAGAGCCACTCATGGGCTTTTTGATTTAAAAAGGTTTTACCCCAATAATGACACAAAGAGCACTGTACAATGGAACTCTGCACCAGTTGAAGAATAAAATACAAGCGATTTATATGGTTTATTCTCTCTGTATACATTCCACCTCTTTGATATTTTATAAACTAATTTCTTATGATTCACAACCTATCTTTCTAATACCAACTTCTCTCCTGAGTGTCTCTGAGTTCCAACCACTAATCCTGCTGCAGCGCAGGCCAACTTATCTAGAGCTGAGTCCATCATAGTTACTTCTTTTTTTTTATTTTTTTCTTGGAAATCATTGCTTTATTATTTATTTTATTTTATTATTATTTTTTTTGGTTTTATCTATTCAATTTATTTAGTTAGTTAGTTGATACATACTGTAACTCTTACAAATTAAAAGTTAGGTACTAAGTGATGTGAGAGATAGAATATGTTTAAATGAGAATTATACTATCAGCTGCTTTATTTTATTTTTTATTTAAAATCAATTAATTAACATATAGTGTATTATTAGTTTCAGAGGTAGAGTTTAGTGATTCATCAGTTGCATATAACACCCAGTGCTCATTGCATCACGTGCCCTCCTTAATGCCCATCAACCAGTTACCCCATCCCCCACCCACTTCCCCTCCAGCAACCTTCAGTTTGTTTCTAGAGTTAAGAGTCTGTTATGGTTTGTCTCCCTCTCTGATTTTGTCTTATTTTATTTTTCCTTCCCTTCCCCTACGTTCATCTGTTCTGTTTCTTAAATTCCACATATGTGTGAAATCATATGGTATTTGTCTTTGTCTGACTGACTTATTTCACTTAGCATAATACCCTCTAGTTCCATCCTCGTCATTGCAAATGGTAAGATTTCATTCTTTTTGATGGAAGTAATATTCCATTTTGTGTGTGTGTGTGTATACCACATCTTCTTTATGCATTCATCTGTTGGTGGACATCTGTGCTCTTTCCATATTTTGGCTATTGTGGACATTGGCTATAAACATTGGGGTGCACATCATAGCTTCTTCTTCCTATTTTTCCCAAATCAGTGCAATGGAACTTCATCTACATGGTTAATCAAACTTGAAACATGGAAGTCACCCTTAACTTCTCCATCCACCTTACTCACCACCTATATTCAAATATCCAGTCTTAAAATTTGTACCCATCTGAAAGATCCTTGACTTGTCTTTGAAGATTCTTGACTTATCTTTCAAGTGAATCACTTGTGCCTTCGTCGGGACCACAGTCTACTGAAATAGCACTGTATGTACTTTCTTGTTTTTAGATTTACTCTCCTTCAACCAATCCTCCATACCGCTTACCAGAGTGGTCTTGCTAAAATGTGAATGGACCCTGTCATTTTCCTGCTCAAAACCCTTTCAATAGTTCCATATTGATGTCAGGATACACTAGATTCCTGGGCACGGCATTGAAGCCTGTGTGCCTGGACATTCCATGCTGAAAATGCCTCTGTGCCTTCCCCACACCCTCACCTGCTGAAGTCCCACTCATTCTCCCAGTCTCTGATCAGGGAGAATCCTGAACCTCGCCTGCACTCTCCAGCTCCAATCAGGCCTTCTTGAGTTTTCTTGTTGGCCTTTATGTTTCTTTTATTACACTTACTTCCAATTATATATTAATTGTGTGAGTATTGTGATAAAGTGGGGGTGGGGGTTGGCACTGGAATGTTCTAGCCCAGCAATCCAGTAAACCTCTGGGTGGAAGCTTATCCGGAAAGGCTCATGCTGTTTTAGAGTTAAACAGAGGGCTGGAGATTAGTATTTCAGACTCCCACTTGATCCAGGTTTGGGGGATGAGGAAGTGAGAAGGTGAGTAGATGAAATGATTTAGCCAAATAAAAACCAATTACATTTTAACCTTCCTAAAACATACACTAAAACTCTCCAAACTGGATGTTATCTGAAAACATATCCTATCACTCCTATGAGTCTAGAAGAATTTCGAGGATGAGAACATCGCCTTACTCACAAATGCTCGCTGAACAAACTAGCATAGCCCTTGCTCTCCATGCTCCACTCCACTCCCTCCAGAGGACGGGAGGCAGATGACCCAGAGGAGGTTAATGTGCTCCTCTGACCTCTAGGAGGAGCTGTGACCTCACTGAAATTCCCTAGGCTGGTCTGGGAGGAGAAGGGAGGGGAATGGGGAGCGGGGGGCCTAAGAAGGACGAGAATGCTCAGGCATCAGGGTTGGTTCCAGGGTCAGCTTGGAAGATGGTATATGGACAACCTGGACACTAAAATCCAGTCCACAGCCTCTATAGCACTGTGTCTACTACAGTCTCCGTGGTTCACGTCCATTAGGACCTTTTGTTACTCTCCTGTGCTTCTTCTGTATGTGTGGGCTCCATGTTCAGGCTCAGCACCCCAGATAGGGGAGATGCTCTCTGGGGGTACCGGTTGCAGTAGATTTCTCTCATAACCTCATCAGCACCCAATGAGGGTGCTTTCTACCCAGTTAGCATTAAATTCCTATGTCTTAAAATGATGCACAACTGGGGAAAGGCTCTGTAAGCCAAGCAAGGTGGCCTCTCTGCGTTACATCAGGATGAAGCTTGAGTGGGGTTGTCCTGGCTCCATGAGAGGCAGCGTGGGGAGACATCTGCCCAAAGGGAAGGAATGTGTGTTTGATCAGAGGAGGTGCTCTCAAGTGGAGAGAGGAAGGAAAGACTCAGTTATTCATTCAGGTGGGGGAAGAAGCTACTAGCAAAAAAACAAGTCTCTGAGGAACCTCCTTGAGGCAGCTGGGGGATAGACCTATTACTCTGCACCTGCCCCTGTACATTGAGTCCTGCCACACCAGTCCAAACCCAGCTCGGGGCGTGGGGGGGAAAGAGGGAGTGTGAGCTGCGGAACTGACAGGGGCGGGGACCTCACCAGCAAACCCTCTGTCAGGGCGGGGGGCCAGGAATCTAAGCAGAGAGACACCGAGTCCCTTCCGGTCAGACGCTGCCATGGGCTGCAGGCTCCTCTGCTGGGTGGCCCTCTGTCTTCTGGGGGCAGGTAAGTCCTGGGAACAGGTGGGACATGTCTGTCTTCAGGCTTCTAGCTTTTTTCAGGGAACTGCACCCTAAAACTCTCTAAGTTTGGTTTCTTGCTCCCGCAGTCTCCATGGACACTGGAGTTACCCAGATACCAAAACATCTGGTAACAGGGACGGGGAGGAAAGTGACCCTGGAGTGCAAACAAAATCTGGGACATAATGCTATGTACTGGTATAAGCAGAGCGCTCAGAAGCCGCCGAAGCTCATGTTTGCTTATAACGGTAACGACCTCTTTCAAAATGAGACTGCCTCCAGTCGGTTCTCACTTCAACGCCCAAAGACCTCCGAGCTGGACCTTCACGTGAGCCCTGTGGAGCCCGAGGACTCCGCCGTGTATCTCTGTGCTAGCAGCAAAGACACAGCCCCGCACCCTCAACCTCTCCCTGTGCACAAACCTCCTGGGTCGAGCCAGGAAGCTGTGGGGGGCAACCAAGGCTCAGCTGAGCATTTCCTGGAGGACCCCGGACAGAGATCCCAGACCCTCCTGCTGCCTGTCAGGTCGCTGGATGCGGCAATGCTGAGTGCCCGGCACAGACACCCACGGCCTGGGGCCTGGCTCTGCCTCGGTATAGCCTGTGCCTGAGCTGAATGCAGGCCAGAGACGGTCCAGCCTCATTCTTCCGAGCAGCGTCCAGTCTGCAGGCGGCCCTTTCATGAGCCATGAAATCTTGCATGAGCCACTTTATACTCTGACCACAGCAGGGCTGACACGTCCCCCGCCAACAGATACATTCCTCTGACTTTTCCGTCCACCCATGGGAGACCCTGGACCTCAGCCCCAGGCCCAGCTCCGAACAGGCCCAGCTCTTTTCCAGAACACCTCCCTCCCTCACCACCTGGCTCTGTCAGTTCCTACCACTGAAGACGATATTCCCTTATCAGGCCTGGATCACTGTTCTCCAGGTGACTGTTGGCTGCATGTACTGGGACTCAGCTCCACACAGCCTTCTCTTCCTCTCAGCCTTTGACACATTCAGGCCTGATTCTTTTTCCTTCTGTTGCTATAATCCTCATTCTTCAGGTCTTCACATCCTGTATTGTCAGCCACAGGATCCTCTGCCCTTGGATTGTTGCTGACCACAGACAGAGCGGAAGGCCCCCAGCCATTTCAGAGCAGGACTGTATCCTCAGGGCTGTCCGTACTGAACCCCGTATTTCCTGGCATTGACCCTTGCAAAGGCCCTGCATCCTGCGCAGGCCATCAGACCCCAAGGGCTGAGCAGAGCCCTGTGTCCTGGGGAGTCACATGCCTGCACTGACAGGAATGCTCCCTCCTCTCTCCTCTAGGGGGCGCTTCAGGTACTGTGGGCACGCCTGAGCAAAGTTTCAGACCATAATACCACCAGCCAATGCAATTCATGTGGCAACTCTCCAATCTAGGGCCATCTTTTGAGTGTGGGGTTTCTCTTACCTGAGTGTGTCTCTTCCCTGTCAACTGGTTGAAAGATAAACACATCTGGATTCAGTACTGTTAATGCCTCTTCTATCATGAAATAAAACTAGCCTGCTGTAAAGTGGGTCTTTCGGCTTAAGGTTTCACAGGGATCCTCTAAACGAACACAAGTGTCCCCACAAGTCACACCCTACAGAGGACCAGAGGATAAGCGGGGGGGCCCTCCGAGGAGGTGTGTCACTCCAGACTCCGCAGATCCATGGTTTCTGAGCCTCTCTCCTCGGGAACCAAGGAGCCCCTGCTGTAGGGCTGTTCTGAGATTTG